ATGGGATTAAAGGTGTGAGCAAGCATGCCACTGAGAAGTAAATTAAGGTGCATTTACAGTGTGTCGGCTACTCCTTGGTAACTGCCCCTGTGCGTGTTCCTGCAGCACGGTAAATGTCAGGGAGCGTACGGCTCAGAGGTAAGGGTGAAGGACCTTACGTTTAGTGAACACTGTTGCAAGGCAGGAGCATGCACCAAGCACTCACTGCAGGATAGTGAAGCCACGGGGAACTACCACCACAGGTTACATTGCAGTAGCTTGTTCGTTTGCTTTAAGTCTTCATTTCCTAACTGAGCACCTCCATTTTTAGTAAAGCTCTCCTTCCTTCTTAGGCCAGGTCCTATTAGTACGAAAGAAGTAAAGGCTCACACTCTAACAGCTGGAAAGAGTTCCATTTCTGAATAGGGGAAAGTGGAAGTTTGCATCCATGCCAAGTAAGGAGATAAGCCACAGGGAACTGTGCTGTAGTCTCCTCGCCCTGTCTTAGGCTCACTTGCGAAACAGGGAATATAAAACAGTGGTTTTGCCAAGGCGTGCCCTCCAAATTGCAGCTCCCACAGCAATAAATTTCCCTAGCTGGAGGAACTCTATTGAAATCATAAAAGTGCAGGGCTAGAAAAAAACCTCCAGGGGTCATCCAGGTTGACGTCTAACCTGACAGATGTCTAACCTGTTCAAAGAAAACCCTTCACTGAAGCAGTCTTTGTCACGGTATTTCACTACACTTACAGATTAAAAGACCCTTTTTCTAGTCTTCCTTGCTCTAACTCAAGCCTTTTTTTTTACTGGTAGTTCTCACAGTGGACACACATGCAAGCTGACGACCAGCTTAGCATGTTTAAGTTCAAACCTCTGTGACTCCAGATCCTTTATCAGTGTACTGCTGACCAGCCAGTTATTCTCTCTTTCAAACTTGTGCATTTCATTTTGCTTCTTTAATTGTAGCCCCTTGCAGTTCTCTTTGCTGAATTTTATCGTGTTGACTTCAAATGACCTCCCCTGTTTCTTAGGATCATTTTGAGCTCTGATCCTGTTCTTGAGAGAACTTGCGATTCATCCCATGCTCGTGTTTTTGGCAACTCTGACAAACACTAAGTAGGACTGCATCATGCAAGTTGTTAATGAAAGTTTTGAACAGGACAAGATGCAGGACCAGCCACTGTAGCTGACCTGCCCTCCTTTCTGACAATGAGATTAGTAGTTTGAATGTTCAGCTATATTGTTTTCCTGTAAAATGCTAGTGCTGCAACAGTTATCATTTCTCTTTATAGTCAATTGCTATTTTCATGCTTGTGCCATACAGATTGCTGCAACCTGAGCCCTTTTGTGTTAAGCAATGTTCAGACACTAAACAAAATGATGCTCATAGACGGAAAGAGCTTGCATTTTAAGTAGAAAAAAAGGCAACAGATTGATAAAACAAGCTGCAAGGGGAGGACAGAATAAAATTTTCTGCTTGGAAAATGGTTTCCAAACAATTGCATGCTCAGTAAGTAGAGTGCTGTTCTGAAGTAGTGCTGTTTAACCTGGAGAGTTGAAGTGCCTGAATATGTCACCAAAATCTCATTTTTTCACAGAAAAAAATGTGAATTTTTTAATTGTCTGAAGATGCTGCTTCTGATGTGCAAAACCAAATATGTTCTCTTAGACTTCACAATCATAATTTTATTTTAAGCACACGTTCACTGAATTTGTGCCTGTGCTGAGATTTTATAAATGACTGCAGTAAACCAGCTTATGAATTTAATCATTCAATAAAGAAGGGCACTGTAGAATTAATCCTGACATACCATATCTTCCATTGGTGAACCTTGTCCCAGAACCTTGTACTGGGAGGGAAGGCACACTTTACATATGATCTCTGTAGGAGCCACGTAACATTTTTATTAGCATTTTATGACACTGGTGAAGTGGGTTTGTTCTTTTGTGCCTGTTTCACATGATTCTACCACGACTGTGTCTGGTGTTTTTTACCCTGCTCTCTTAAGGAATTGGGGCTTTTGTAGTTGCAACCTGTGTGCCCCATCCATCCCCCACTAATCACTTGGGTACCTACCTGTAAGTCAGCTAATGTGAAAGATTGGTAGTGCTGTTGGAGACATTGTAAAGTACAAATGTTTGGTGAAAGTAGGCAGCGGACAAAGGAGAGAAGATGATATTGTTAGTCTTACTGAGAGAAAAGCATCAGCATGAGCTTAATTAACACTTAGCAGGCAATGGCAGATGACAGCAAGGTTAGGGACACTGCAGCCATGGGAACAGCTTGAGTCTGACCTGTCATCAGTTAGACCTTTGACACCCCAGTGCAATGACAAAATCCACTGGAAAGCAGGCTTTGCTTGTTCTCCTGCTTACAGAACAGCTTGTTATCTCTGGCTTTCATGTATATTTTAATATTTTAACTTTCTGTAGCCTTTGTGAAGGCTAGCAGTTGCTAGCTCGGGGCCAGGAAGCAGAGAGACCCCTGCAAAGAATCTTGAACCCTGAGTTAGCAATGGCCATGCATTCGCTTGAAATGGAGATACCAGAAAGGAAAACACATCAAAGAAATTAAGACTCCTGAAAGGATCAGATACATGAATAAGCAGAAGTAGCACCTGCTCCTATGCAAGAGTTCCACATACCCTATTTGACAAATGATGCTGGCACCCTCCTTCCTCCCGGGAGAGGCTGTCCACCAAAGGGACATAGCCATAATGGAAAGACTGGCTCAGCCTTGGAGAAGGGAGGGACTAAGGAGGAAACCTGAACTCCCAAGTTAAAAAAAGAAGTCAGGGCTTAAAGGTTGCTCCAAGGAGTGACTGTGGCTTGAGGAAGTCACTGAGCACAGGTGCTGGCACAAAACAGAAGACAGTGAACTGCGATCTGGAAAAGCCAAAGTTCTTGGGATTTTTTTCAAGTTAGATGAGACATAGGCAGGCACTTGCCCCACAGGACCATTCTGAAATATTTAGAAAAGTTTGTTCCCGGAAGAAGAATGTCCATGCATATTGCCTTTGGCACTGTTGCCATTGCTGCTGAAAAGAGAGTAAACTTTCTGAGACAGAGAGCTTTCTGCTGAATCTGGATGGAAGGCTCTAAATTACTTTACTTGACAGCCTGTTTTGTCACAGCATCAGCAGACACCTTTTTTTTGCCATAAGCAGAATAACCTGCCGTGAAGACAAACTGGTATGGCTGTTCCCTCTGAGAAATAGAAAGCCACATTTATGCGCAAATAACAGTGAGAGGAGAGTGAAATTTTCATATGGAAGATGTTTTCCATCCATTTCTGGCATGGTGCAAAAGATAATACTCCCCCTTGGCAAGGAAAAGAATTGCATTCTTCTTGGAAAAAAAATCAGCCTGGGTTGGGTGTGCCAGCTATGGTCTTTGCTATGTGAAAAAGAATGGAAATTTCTCTGCTGCTCTTGAATAGAAAACATGATGAAATGTTAATCACTTCATATTGTCTTGCTGGAACTTGTTAGATTTTAGAGAAGGAAAATAAGCAATGAATGCAAAGATGGTCATGATCATTTTAGTTCTGGAATTTGTTTTGCATATCTAGTTCTCAAGGAGGAAAAATAGCCGTACCTCTGACGAACAGCTTTTCATGTGAAAATGTGCCTGCATCCTTTTTCTGCTGGTTTGGGAAATATATTTTGTTGGGTTCTGGCAAAATTCATGGCACGAAATCAATCATTTTTGCAGAGTAACAATATAAAATAAAATCCTGACCCTGTCTTAAACAGTAGGAAGGGCTCACGCTCCCAGGATCTAACAGAAGCTGGGTGGCTCACTCATCCATACCACGACTGTATACGGTCCTGAATATGAAGTGGAAAGAACATTTGGGATAGATGTGTATGTGGCATAACTAATAACATGTTACTACTGTACTGCTGAGATCCAGTCATCCAGTATAATAATGTAATTGTACAGTCAGATTTGGGGGTGTTGCCCCTTGAGTCAGGAGTATTACTCAGTGTGAATGAGAGTGTCAGAATCAGCCCCGGAGTGGGGTCCAGATCATGACTGGTGAAAAATGCTACTTGTTACAGAAGGGTTGCTGTTTTGCTGGAATGGACCACGTGAAGAGGCAGTGACAGCTTTAGTAAAGATGATGCATAGGCTGCGGTGGATTAAAAGGTCTGCTTGAGAGTTATTTGGTTTTCTGACTAAAGATCTGAAACTAGCTTTAACACAAGGCAAAAAAGCCCAATGGCCCAGCTTCTTTTTTTGTCTTCAGATTTCCTGGATGATGCAGCAAATTGCATGAGGCATTTTGTCTTATGCAACTTCATGTCAGGTTATACAGCTGTTGCAGCCTGATGTAATTATGCTGGCATATGCTGAAAGTTAAACAAGAGGAAATGCATGTTTCTGAATGGCAAGACACTATGGTAGAAATCTTGCTGCCTTTTTTTTTTTTTTTTTTTTTGGTGCAGTTGTGTTGGTTGGCAGAGAACGAAGATCTAGACTTTATGATAACAAAGCTGTAAGACGTGGGAAGTGATGACATTGGAGTGACTGGGCAATTATGCAGTCCTGACCAGCCTGAAAATGGGGAGATGCTTTGCCCTATAGCATCGAGAGATCAGTATCACTGAGACTACTGCTGCCTTCCCGTGTCTTACAGAAAAAAAATGGAGACCTGTTTGCTCGGTAGGACTTCAGTGCCTGTGTTTGTCCCAGGGTCAGATCTTAAGACCAGGCATCCTAAAAGCTCAAGAACCAGTTAATTACAATATTCATGACATTTCTGTGGATGAAAACACTCTTTATATGTCTAAGTATTTCTGTCCTACTCGATGCGCTTTCTACCACCGTTTCCGTTCCCCTGACCATCTTTCATTCTTGCTCGCTTACTGGCTTTCTCCAGATAGCCTGATAATGAGTGCTTCTGGCTTTGTGCTTTTTTGTACATAACAAAACTGCTGAAGTTAGAAGCCATGTTATTTTCTTGCAGCAGCAACAAACTGTTCTATAACTTTTTCTTCTTCATATTCCCCCTTTAGCCCTGTTAGACATGGATGCTTGTCCCAATAGAAAAAAAAAAGTGGCAGAAGCTGTATGACTTGCTCATTCAAGAGGCCGAGTGAAATATAAGGACATCAATCAAGAAATTAACCCGAGTGATTACTGGAGAAGGTATTCAGTCACACATCACGTGAGGTGCTGTTATTCACAGTTTGCAATATCAGTGACCCAGGTACTTTATATAAATACTGATGAAAGCTAATTTCAGTGTTCTTTCTAGCAAGTTCTATTTTGGGGTACACTTATCCAGCTGGGGAAGGAAATCTGAAGTTTGCCGAAGGCTAAATTAGTGTTGTGCTGGGTGGTTTGTGATGTGTAGCCCCACGGGTGACAGGGTTGCATACCTTTCTTTGAAAGGGTACATTGTAGCCCAACATTTTCAGTTACTTGGGTTTGTGGATCTTCTCAAATATGTTACATACATGGAAATAACAAGTTGCATAACTAAATTGCAAGAGTCGGGTCATAATAATATGCAGAAGGTTTCCCATGCAGCTCCATTTCAGGGCCAGACTGGTACATACATCTGCTGGGACTGACTTCAGGCAGGGAGTCACAGGACTTCCTCATGATATACAAAGTTCAGGCACCCTATTTTTAGGCCAGCGTTTGATGTAATAATGTGGGAAATACCATTGTTTGTGAGCTTGCATCAAATAGGTGTAAACAGGTGTATTAGGAACAGGTATGTTGCTTTCCCCTCGCAGCATAACAAAGGTGTGCATGCCCGTTTGCATGTCCTTACTCACCCTCCTCCAGTAAAATCTCCTCTGCTGTATCCACATCCCTAAAAGGTGTGTGGATACCTACCTATCCCAAATGATCTTTCCACTTCACATCCAGGACCAGATACCCGTCTTGCAAAACGTTTGACTCCATGGCCCTTCTCGCACCAGCAGCCTCGAGGCAGGGGGCATCCCAGGATGCGGGAGGACTGTGGCCCCCTCTCCCACTGCGCTGCCCCGCACACAGCTGCCAGCACTCCTCTCCCACTTAACAGAAGATAAATGTTTAGGAGCTCAGATCGCATTGAAAATTTTCTAAGAATAATGCCAAAGTCTGAATATTGCTTTAAGTGTGCACTGTTCCTGGATGAGGGAGCCCTGCTGTACCACTGCATCCCAACACCTGGTGCTGCCCTTCCCTTTCTGCTGGTGTAAATGCTCATATAAGCCATACCTTTAGGCTCCTCTCTGAGGGTGCTGTTGAAAACTGGGTCTTGAAGTCTTCATAAAACATAGTCAAAATCAAAGTTTCTGTCCTGTATGAAACAGGAAGGCATTTCCCTACCAAACAACGGGAAAAAGTTGAAAAAAATGATGTTTATTGTGGATCAAAAAGTTCTGAATAAACGATTCATAATTAAAATGGTTCAATTTAGTCTGTTGAAAGTGTACCAACACATTTTATTTTAAGTCATTTCAAAAATTAAACCACACTTCCCAAGAAGAATTGTTTTCTCTCAGCAGTTGCCATTCACATGTCTTGTGCCCTTATTTTCTCCTGTGAGTTAGATTGTCTGTAAGTCTGCATTTCCCCAGGCAAAAAAATGGCCTTCTCTCCTGCTGCGGTTGATGTTTACAAAAATTTTTGATTTTCTGAAAACTGTATTTTCTATTGAAAACACAATTCCTGGCCATGTCTATTAGTCATCCCCTTAGGCACTTCCAGAGTCTTTAACCACAGCCTCTTTCCCCCCCTTCTTTCTTACTGCCTCTTAATCTTGTGCATGGTTTTGTTTTCTACAGAGGCCATGTCTTCCTAAGCACCCACGGTGATGTACCCACTGTCCTGAAGGAGAAAATCACATCTAATTGTTATTGTTGTTATTGGGTGCTGCATTGTTATGGGATATTACCTACATTCAATATTGCACTACCATGTCTGAATGCTTCCGTCTGCCTCTTTCTTAATTTAGGAGAAGTGCAGTGGGTGTCTTTGAGGACTGAACATGAGTATATTACAGTCATAAAAAATAATATTTCCACAAGGTTTGGGTCTCCCCTTCCCTTCAACAAATCTTTCCACCTCAGTTTGATTTTTTTTTACCTCTGGTTTTCACTATGGGATAATTCTTCAAGAGACTGTGAAAAGGGGCTGGACATGCCCAGGTGCATTGGAAAGTTCAGGAGCAAGCATCCAATCCTCCAGTAGTTCCCCACTGCCTGAAAACCCACATGGCCAGTTCAGTTTTCTGTTCAGAGACTGAGGAAGTCAGATTTGCTGAGGGACAGGATCATGCAGCCGTAGCTCTCAGTCCCTGAACAACAGGGTGGGACAGGCTCGGTGCCCTGCACTCCAGGTGCTCAGCCACACGCATCCCCTTTCCTGGTCATCTCTGGGGAAGGATGCTCCTCTTTGGGCTCTTTGGCTCTTGAGCACTGCCACAGCCTCGCACAGGGTCAATCTTTCCGTAGAAGGACTTGCAGAGGTGACCTAGGAGGCGCAAGGGCAAGTTCCTGTGCAATCTGCGGTAGGCAGGGGCTATTATGGGTGGCCTGAAATCAGGGTTGCCTGAAGGTGGCAAAAGGGTTTCTGCTCTTTGGCTCTGTATGTCACCTGCCAGCTGGCAAGTCTGCACTGCACACCATTAATTTCACTGCTTAGGTTGGGATGTGGGACTTTTTTCCCTCCTGGTGTGCTGGCTTTCCTGTGGGGCTTGCAGCCAAGGACTGCACCACCCAGCAGGACCCCAATGTGGTTTTCAGGTAACGCCTGGGTCACCCACCACAACACAGGATCAGATTGGGAAACCCCATTTGATGGTATTCTCTGCAATCACATCTGTTTGGGACATGCTGATGAAGTGACTATTTCTGCTCCTGTTACTTCTCTGACATGTTTAGAATTTACAGATTTCTTGTTTTCTTCCCATTTCCAGCTCTCAGAAATGTATGGGAAACATTTCACTAGCTGCCTCTGAAATTCTCACAGCTGCTTTTAATTACTCACAGTTTCCCTAAAAGTTATTTTTAAGATTCTATTTTTGCCAACATTTGATATTCACACCCAATTCATAACTTAATTAAGAGCTCCACCCTGAAGTAATTTGAAATAAATTCCATTCTAGGTGTTATCATACCAAGATCATATGTCTAGTCTCCCTCTGCAAATGCTAGTATAAATTCCAAGACACGGTTATCCTGACATTAACTGAAAATATTTCTATGACCCATGTATAAACTAAACCTTTTCAACTGTTCACATAGGATTTAGTAAACTTATCTCCTGGTCACAGGTGGGAAAAATGACCCTATTTCTCTCCTAGCCACTTACTTTGCATTATACAGAAACCTGCATAAATAAAACCTGTAGGAGGCAGCTGCATTTTCAAACCTATCTCTCTGGGCTTATTACTCTTTCACTTTGTTAATTAGTATAATTAATTATAATTAAAGAGTCATTTTCAAGAGACACCTCAAATAGTATATCTGCCAGCATTTCCTGAACCTCCAGTGGCCTTGTCCTTACTGTGTCGATACTGAAAGTTGCTGTGCAGGCAGTGTAGATGATTTAATGTCCGTAGTTTTCACCCAGATGCGTAATACCTTACAGCATTTTGGTTACATCTGCATGCTATCTGACGGTGGTTTGGGAGCTCCTGGAGCTACTGCTGGCAGGCTTCTCCACAAAAGCCCATGAAGAACTGGGGGGCTGTGTGAGTACAGCATGGTGTGGGCACATTTATTGGAAGTTTATGTTCATTCGACTTGCAGTGTGTGTTGCAGAGATGGGTGATTTCTTTCCTCCTGTAGCTGGTGCTCACTGAGCTAACCTGGGATGTTTGAAATAGCAGCTGTCCTCCCGGCTGAGCTGACACTGCTCTGCAGCCCTCGCTGAGGGACGGCTTCCCAGCTTTTCAACCAGCAGTAGCTGCATCCTTGGGCCCCTCTGACAGTACTGCAGCTCTTGGGGTCCTTCTCGAGACACCACTTGGGGCTGCTGCGCCTCTGGACCCTGGCCTTACCCATTTCTGGCCACATGCTGCTCTTTCTGTGCAGACCCATGACCCCTACAAGAGTTGGCACCTGCACCTTTCACAGCCTATCCTCCTCTTTATGATGTGACAGTTTTCTAGCACAGATTTCCCTGCAGGAACTTCTCTGTTGAGAAGCTGGTTGCACATTGCTTGGCTTTCTTTGTCAGCCTTGAGATTGTGCCTCTTGGCCTGCTGTAGTCAGCAAGCATCTCTCTTTCAAACTGATACTTTGACTTTTCCCAGTTGCAACTTCTGCTGTTCCGGCTTTCGGTTTGGGAAACCCAAGCTGAATAAGTCAGTGAAGTTGCTGTCCCAGGCCTTGTATATACTTCAGCCACAGCTAAATAAATTTCCTGATGGGAACTTGGTTTCCTCTTGTTCCCCATGTTTCTGCTGGGGACTACTGCTTCTGCCTTCTCAAATACCTGCTGGTCATCTCCTGCTTCCCTCCAATTTCTCATCTAGTTCACCCTATGTTTAATGGAAGAAAAGGACCTGAAATGAGGATGTTCAAGAAAATGCAGAGCAAAAATAGGTTGAAGACCTATTTTATAGGAAACCATAAAGACAAGCAAGGAAAGCATGGGATGGAGAAAATATTTTCTTCTGAGACAAATAATTAAGCAAGTCTCTCTCTAAAGGGTTGCTCATGACCTGTCCCTGACATAATAGCACAGTTTTCTGTTCATTGAGCTCTTAGAATATCCTGATTTGGAAGGGACCCAAGAGGATCACTGAGTCCAAGTCCTATGCTCTTGCTTAGCTGTTGTTCAGTTAAAATATATTTTGTGAACTGTTGGGCCAATTAATATTTATTTAGAAGGAGAAGAGGGAAATGTTCAGTGAACTGTTTCACAACTCCAGTGAGCCCTGGGCATAGGCTACACAGCGAAAGACTATGTCTTTTCCTGCTTCAGATCTCCTTCAAATACTGTCTCAAATCCTTTGAGATACAGACAGTCTGTGGCTAAAACTGTTTTTACCAGCAAAAGAAAGAAAAAAGTAATTGTGGAAGCAGTATAGTCTTTCAAGGGTTTGTATTCTGTCTTAATCTGCAGAAATGGGTGCAGATCTCTCCATGACCTCCCTATTTGTCTGACAGTGACACATGCTATGAACAGATGTTACCTTTCATTGAGGAGACACACTTTAAGAGGCAGATTTTAAACAATGATCTCTATTTTTACAGCAGCAAATGCAGGCATCAGGAACTGTAAGAGCTTGACATCAGCTAGACATCTAAATATGTGATTGTGCCTGCAGGCAAAGTACTCAGACATTTAAATTATAGGAATTACATCGTAGTTATTTGTGGGTACAAAAGTGAATAGGTAAAGCATGATGAAAACCCAGATTCTGAGGTTTTATTTTGACTGCATTTGCCCATTGAAGGTTCTCTCTTGTTTTTACCATTCCCACATTATCCAGGGGGGGCTATAGCCCTGGTAAATGTACTGAAGCATTATGTAAACCATGGCATCAAATGTCTGACAAACCTAAAGCTATAACATTCCACTTGCCTTGCAGGAAAACTCATTTTTTCTTAATGGCCAGTCAGTGGTATTTGTCCCTTAAGGAGGATATCTACAGTGTGAGGAGGGGAATGCACCTCATGCATTAATAAAACTGCATGTAGCTCAGACATGATACCTGCATGGAGTCCCACGGACATTTCAAAAAATCTCCTGGGATGATTGGCGGATACTGCTTCTGCTGCATTCTGCTTCCTCATTTTTATATTTTTGCTGAAGTTGAAACCACCTTGTATTCATGGTTTTTCTGACCTGTGTTCATTATCTGTCCCTACTGTCTAGTGTGCTGACTAGGCTGTCTTCCTTCACTGCTTTCCTCATACCTTATCTTTCTAAAACACGAAAGGTATCCACTTAAGTTGGTGACTGTCCTGGTAACATTTCACAGCGACATGTGAACTTCATATCAGAAAAAAGCTGGTTGCTTTATTCCAGAGAGGAATGAAGAGTAAACTAATGTCACTGACCACTCATCCTACAACACAGCGAGGTGCCACGCACCATCTGCAAGAGAAATGCATGGACACTTGCCAAAAGTGTTGTGGTACCTTTCTTCATATCAATACCAAGAAAGAACCAAGCGGTCCTGCCCTCTGTAAGTGTGTTTCTGTCTGAAGCGCTGGTGGACGCACCGTGTTCAATAAGCATTGCTGGCTCCTCGGCAGGTGGTCCTTTCAGGTACAGGGTTGATGTCTGATGCTAGGGAATGGGAGTCATCCTCCAGGTGAACGATGGCATGTTGCCAGGCCCCACAGACCTCAGTGCATAACCTCTACCATTACCAATATATGATCACCTTCAAGTGAATGGAATAATTTGTGTTCTCCGTGTACTTTAAGATTTCTGGTTCCGTTTAGAGAGAGAAAGAAGGAGGGCTGTGAAAGAGCTAGCAGAGCCTTCTCCTCTCTCCACACCTTGCCTCACCTTGCTCCTTTTCTCGTCTTTAAAATGCATGTCATTTTGTGTCGCAGACCAATTCCTCCTAAGGTATGGGTGTGTCTGGGTTTGCAAAAGATGTTTTCTCTATTGACTAGGATAGCTTGATGGAGTGGAAGCAACCTCTGGGGAGGTCTGTTAGAGTATAATAAGTACAGTCAGTGCTGGAAAGATCAGCAGGGGGAAAGAATAAACTCAAGGGAGGTAATCAATATTTTGTGTAGGTGTTAAAATTGTCTGATTAGTAGTGACTCATGGGTAGTAATGTGAAAATTTCCAACTCCTGAAGGTAGCAATAAATACATTAAATAAAAACAGTTTTTTCTGAATGTGTGGTTTGTGATGTCACAGCAGTTACCTCAGTTGATGCTGAGGTAATAGAAGTAAAATAATGAATCTGAAGAATTAATAACAGATGAAATAAGACTGCACTGATAAGTTCCAGCTCTCTAGAGCAGTACAGGTAAAGAGTCACCAGATGCAGCTTTGTTTTCTCATTGCTAAATATGGTCACTTCTTTGATTTGTGAGGATTGCATTACTGACCAGCTTCAACCATTTTTGATGCTCTATAGTAGTATGAACATGGCAACTAATAAGCATTTGTGGGACTGCACATCAGAAATCAGTCTTTGCATTTGTCTGCTGTCCTGCCTCTTGGGTAGGATTTTTAATGCAGTTCAGAGAGCTGTATGACACACATTGTGTGGTGCCCTGGCAGCTGAGGGTATGTGGCCAAGGCTGGGAGCAATGGGAATGCAACTGCAGTGTGACAGGGATTTTGCAGCAAATCAGCTTCCCTCCTGTCCTGTCCTGCAGAAGATTTGCAACACACATGGGAATAAGAAGGTGCCAATGGAGGGGCTATATCCTATTTACCTCACCTCCCTTAGGAAATATATACTGTTAAGTGTGTCAGTGTTAAGGTATTTTTCTTTTGTCTTTGCTAACCAGCTTCTGCTGTATTAATAAAACTAAGGCTGTATCACAGAATGAGGATAGTAATACAGTGAGGTAATTTTTTTTTTTTTTTTTTTTTTTTTTTTTTTTTTTTTTTTAAAGAAACTGGCTGTACTGTGTGGATTTGATTCTTCCCTTCAGATATGTTCCATGTAGTTTTATTGTTGCTCGGGTTATGGCAGTTGTGTTGCTTTCTTAGACAAGCCAGATAATACCTCATCTTTTTTTTAATGCTTTGAGAAGAAACTACATAGCTTTATAAGCAATGTTAAGCTTAACTGACAGTCAGTAGCATTAAAGGTAAGATTAGATACAAGAAATCCAGTGCAATATATCTGGCTATAAAGTGCCCCTTCAGTTCAACTAGTTGCTGTAACGAAGTTTTATTAATAAACAGCAGTCCTGCATAACTATTAGTCACACTCAGGAGCTTGCCTGGATTTGGAGTTGCTTCATTGGTCAGACAAGCACCTTAATGATGTTCAAAATAAGAATAGCTCAAAGCATGTAATAAGAACTGTCTAGGAGCCTTATTGATTTCCAACAGGTATTTGCTATGGCAGCTTCATCCAAACTGTTCTTATCCTGTGTTTACAGGTTCTAGCATCTGATTGCACCGGGTTTATATACCCAATAAAGCATGCACACCACACACTCCAATAATGTACAGAACAACAAAAGGAAGTAGAGGTGGCACAGTAAGACTTAAGCTGCAAATGAGACAGATGTATGATAAACACGCTTTGCATATAAAACAGCAAAGCAGGCACCAGAATTTTTTTCCAGAGAGCTGTGTAAGTAATTCATAATCAGTAGAAGAAAACTTAGATGAACTTGCGTGCCTGAGATATGCATATGTGTCACCTACTTGTGTGCACATCTGTGTTGCTGTTGCTTGCAAGGCAAGTCCAGCTGGTGTGTAGAGCAGGACAGGGCCCTGTCTGCATCCCCGCCCTTGCACCTTGCTGTGCTGTAGCAAGCATTGCCCAGATATGCCTTTGTCTCACCTTCCTCATATTCCCACCCCACTTCTCACACATCTCTGTGGCACCTTACAGTACTTATCCTGCTTCTGAACCCAGGTGAAAGGAAAACCAAGCTCCTTCCTGAAACAAATGGCTGCAGCAGCCAAAGCAACTGCCTTGCACACAGATTGTGAGGAGGCTGCGGAGGGAAGTCACCTGGGCAGCTGCAAGGTTTTGGGTCTGAATGCATACATTTGGCATTGTCAGAGGAAGCTTATGTGGAGGTACCTATATGTACATATTTGTGTGTGTGTTTGGGTGTGTCTGGGAGGCACAAGCATGGTCAAAAGACGCAGAAACACCACAAAAGTGCACAGAGAAAGAGAAGCCAGCGAGTAAAAGCTGAAAGTTTTGGGCGTGATACCAGCCAGAAAAACACTTAAGACTCTGGACAACAAAACTGCTTTCTATTTTTTGATTTCTAGTGCCCTGAAGGAAATTGTACATTGTACAGCTTCTTTTCAAATAAATAAGATTGCAACCATACCTGAGTCATCATCCAGTTCTCCTCCTGGTGGAATGAATTTGCAAAATCTTGAACATCAAGAGCCTGGTTCATGCATTCAGACATTGATGAAAGCTTTGAGTGTATCTATTGATAAAATAGTAAAAATGCAAAGGCTGGATTAATTTAGTTGAGAAAGTTGGTTGTAAATCTCATGGGACAAGACTTTCATGTGCAATTTCTCATAAATATTACAGCTGTTTATAAGGACTTAACACAAAACCTTTTTCAAGGCTTTGTACTTTGAAACTTCCTATCTTTTCATAAACCAGAGAGAATAAAATTATATAATGCAATATTTTTTTAATGTTTTTTATGCTCCCCTTTCTGATCTTGCCCTCCTTCACCCCTGAAAAAGCTTCATTAAGTTTTGAGGGTCTTGTAAGTTTAGTTGTTTCTTTTTTTCTTACAATTACTTTGTTCAGTCTTACTTCATACAGCTCAAGCCTTCTGTTGTCCTCAGAGATGTAGATAACATATTCCAACATGGTGTTTGGTTTTGTAGGCACTGGAGATATTTTTAAAATAGAAGGAAACCTTTCAACAGGTATACTTTACAGGGCATGCTGTTCAATGCCACTGGATTGCTGAAGTATCGTTCTGAGCTGTGTAATGCTACCAGTAACAATTCACAATTACATAGCATTTTCCATCTGACTGTGTTATCACTTAGAGAATTCATGAGACTCCTACAAGTTTGATTCCTGTGTCCCTATTTTACAACAAGAAGGTTACTATAGAGATTGATGCCAATTGTCCAGACATCCACTAGGTTTTCTGTTCTCACTTTTCAGATCCTTAACTACAGAGGACTAGAGCCTGATCTTTTAGAATACCCGAGAATCTGCAACTTCAAAGAAAGGCAATGGATATTTAAGGACATTTACTGCTTCTACATACCCAAAGGTCCAAGCATCTTTAACTTTTTACTTTGAAGTTGAGTGACTTCATTTTACATTATGGCTCTAACCCTGATTTTGAGTCCAGTATGTTCCCAGCTACCTTTCCTCTGAGCTCTTTGGCAGAAGGAAAATACTTCAGTCTTTTTCCAATTTTTGTCAGCTGATATGTTACTATTGGTTCTTCCTTATGTACAAGAACAGTTATGTTCTGTGCCTCCATAAAGTGTTGCGTGCTAATCAAATAATCAAGTGGAAAATAATTTCAGTAGGTGAACCTCCAAGACAAATATTAAGATATAAAACTGTCCTCAGAGTTAATCACTCTTCATTTCTTAAGATTCTGTTTTCCCTTCTCTGAAAACCTTTGTGTACTGGACTGACTACCCAGAAAAGAGGTATTTCATATTCAACAGCATGGTTGTAGGCAAAATATTGTGAAGGTGAAATGCACAAATCAATCAGGAGAAGAATTAACCCAAATTGACAGTATGTACCTAGATTGTATGAGATCAGTGCCAATGATTTAAACACAATGGCATTTTCCAGCCTGCGAGCCAAATGAATACTTTGGAAGGCGTCTACACAGTTTGTGTTACAGTCTACAAAAGGTTAATTCTTCCTGATGCCTGTGAGTGCTGTGTGAAGACTGGCTGAAGTTATGCTAGAAAAGGCATCCATGTCCCAACATGGATAAAACAAAATGTTCCCATGGTCTGAAGTGAACTTTCTCCCTATGTTGGTGTGCTTCTGGACAGAGAGCTTAGTTAAGAGTCTGCTGCACACCGAAAGTGTGCTTTGTAAGTGCACCAGTAATCTCACAGAGGCACGTGTTAGCATCTTGAGCCAAGCATGATGTCAGGGTCATAATTTGAAACCCTCACCTCAGCTTCACTAAATGTCTGCGATAACAGCAGCACATGCTTTTACAAGAAATATGCTGTAGCCCTAGTGAATGAAAAAGCTCTCAAGGCAACACAATCTGCAGACAGTGTGAAGTTGAAGCATAATATTTTCATGCACTGCCTGCAAAGGAACTTTCCATTTGTTATATGTTGTAAACAGATTTTCCTTAAACTGCCTAAAACATCTGTTGGAAATGTTTGTGAGGAGCTCCTGGACCTCAAGACTTGTTAATACTGTCAATGCTGTTAATACTTGTTAATACTTGTTTATACATAAGGAGATAAAAATGAGTCACATTGAACTGACTTTTCACACAGAAATAAATGATGATGAATTTAACTTCCTAATTTAAAACTGATTGCGAACCCCACTGTTTTGTAAAATATCCATCAGTCCATGTGATAATATTGACTCACCATTCTTTTTTATAGGCTCTGTGTACCATGATGCCAGAAAAAAAGCAGAGCAGAGCAAATGAAAACAAAACAGATTTATTCCTCTAGGTCAAAGTGATCAGTGTGTTTGAAGTGTAGAAGGCAGCTAATGTAAAGAATATCCAAATATAGGGAATCTTGAGTATAGAATACCCAAATTTTGTATACACATATGTATAAATGTGTATGCAATATGTATATGCATATGTACACATGAGTATAAAGTGAAGTAAAGAAGTAAATCAAAACCCTGTTGAATTACAATACCAAAATATTTGTGGAAGTAGAGTGAAGAACTACACTAGTGACTAAACATAATAGCAATTTTCTGTGGTGAGATTTCACACGGGGTTCAAACTCCTTGAGTGGTTAAAATTTTTCCCTTGTTCATATGCACATGGATGCTCAGCCATTTTCAAAGTCTTTGAGACAAGAACTGGCTCAAGCTTCTCAGCAATTTAAGGAGAATGAATCATGAAGTGGTAGCAGGAGGATGGCTGAGAGGGGCTAGTAGGAGCTGAGGGTGCTAGGAAAGGCAGTGAGGAGCTGAGAGGTGCTGTAAAAGGCTCTGAGGGCAGCAAAATGGGGAACTCGCAGTGATCTTGGCGAGCCTTTCCACTATCCTGGGCTCTAGAAAATCTGTTTCTGTTGGTCTCACTGTGTGGAAATTGTACACCACTATCTTCACAAAGCCAGTTTCAGAGACTCTGTTTGCTTTTTTTAATGGTCGCATTTGGCTAAAGTTTTGGCAGTACTGGAAGGGTCTCAAAAATGTTTTTGTGTAGATCTGTAAAAACATCTTTCAAGGTTTATCAATATGAATATTGCTATGAATGTGTCTACTTAGCTGCTTATGAGACATATCCCATGCAGTTGCATTTTGCTGCTTTGGTGGCATATCAAAAATCTCCTGGAGTTGCCTGTTGTGTTTATACTGACAGCAGTTGCAAGCACAAATGTTGTCAACTCTCAGAATTTTTATCATGAATCCAGTGATATGTGGTGTTTTCTTCAGAGCCTCAAAACCTTGAAGGTTTCTGGAAATCCACTTTTGTTTTTGGCAGATGTGCAAAGAGAAACTGGAAAATACAGTTTTGCAGGGACCTGAAACACTTAACAGTTTTGTATCAAAACTAATTGCATTTTTCAATTTGCTTAGAAGTCAGGGCCCCTTACAGGAAGGTTGATAAAGTCAAGGCTGATGGTATTGCACATTATTTTACTCCAGTGTTCCCTGCTTCCCCCACTATTGTTGGCCACGGTTTTAGCATGCCTTTTGGGTCATTTAGGATATTTCTAATCTGGATTAGACCCGTAGCTTGGTGATCTTGTATGAAATTTTAACAGATTGTGAGGCCTTGGAAAGGCCTGGTGAGCTCTGAAAACGTTTTGAGCTTTTGGATGCTTACCTGTTTTGAATGGTCCAAAATCTGGAGTTTTCAGAGGGTACAATATTTCATCTCATACCTGGCAGAGATCCACTCTGCTGCTTGCTGAAAAGATACCTCTCAGCAGAAGCAATTGTTGGAACTCAATCAAAATGAGCCTTTCGTGAAAAGAAAAAAAAAAAAAGCAGAATTAGGCTGTTCGTAGTTATAATGCCTTTCAATAAAACCAAATAATTTTGTCCCCAATTAAAATTTCATAACCAGATATGTAGGGTCATACTGACTGTGGGACAGATATCAGATTAGCAATTCAGTGGAGCAGTTTAGCTGATTCATGTTAGTAACACAGCCTTCAAATACTCAAAGGTGCTGCCAATGCATGTTCCCCTTATGACATTTTTAACACAAGTTTTTGTGTCAAAGGATCTGTGTGTGCACTCTTCAAAGTGTCCCTATGTTGTGGTTTAACCTGGCAGGCAACTAAACACCACACAGCCATTCGTTCACTCTCCGACCCAGTGGGATTGGGGAGAGAATCGGGGAAAAAGAAGTAAAATTTGTGGGTTGAGATAAAGACAGTTTAATAGGTAAAGCAAAAGCCACGCATGCAAGCAAAGCAAACCAAGGAATTCATTCCCTACTTCCCATCGGCAGGCAGGTGTTCAGCCAGCTCCAGGACAGCAGGGCTCCCTCACGTAACGGTTACTAATACAAACGCCACCACTCAGAACGCTCCCCCCTTCCTCCTTCTTCCCCCAGCTTTATATGCTGAGCATGACGTCATATGGTATGGAATATCCCTTTGGTCAGTTTGGGTCAGCTGTCCTGGCTGTGTCCCCTCCCAGCTTCTTGTGCACCCCCAGCCTTTTTGCTGGTGGGGTGGTGTGAGAAGCAGAAAAGGCCTTAACTCTGTGTCAGCACTGCTCAGCAATAACGAAAACATCCCTGTATTATCAACAGTGTTTCCAGCAAAAATCCAAAACATAGCCTCATACTAGCTTCTATTAAGAAAATTAACTCTGTCCCAGCCAAAAGCAGCACGGCCTAAAACAAGCTTTTCCTTGTATGTATGATTACATGAAATTTATGACAACAGAACCCACAAACTTTTCCATGGGCTGAAAAGTACGGTGCAGCAGGTGTTCAGAAACTCCAGATTAGCAGAAAGGATGAAAACACAGTTCTTAGCATACTTACCCATTCTTTTCTCACTTCCTGCATACTGCAGATTGCTTCCATTGAGTGTCTTAAACTCAAAAAAATGGAAACACAAACTATAGCTTACTGTCATCAAAAAAAGGTAGGGATCTTCCTGCAGGTCCGGAATGGTGATTAATTATCAGCCAAAGCAGAAGGCACTCAAGACTGAGCGAAAGCGTTGAGGAAAAATAGATAAATTATATTCATGTTCTTAAAGGAGACTTGCAGGGGACCAAACAAGCTTGTAGAAAGTAGTAGGAAAATGAAACTCTTTTATTGGTGGCGACAGCTGCTGCAGTCTCCTGCAGGTAGCCTATTTGTGTTACTGTAATATCTGTGAACCTTGGCATGGCGCACGAACTTCTCACACTTTGTGCTGTACAAATACAGAATAAAATGAAGGCTGCTATGCCACAGACTTTGCAAATACTGAAAGGATTTACTGGGAGGTGGAGTGCGCTGTAGCTCAGCTAGGAGCATTACCTGTTGCAAGGTAAGGGTTTCTGCATCACAGGATGTACTCACTTCTGCTCAGCTGGGAGCAGCTTAAATCTCTGCAGCTTATCTATTCAGATGGGAAACCACTGGTCCTTTCTCAAAGGAACTAAATCTAATAGGCATATCCAAAAAATATTTAATAACCTAACTTTAAAAAAGCAGGCTTTATATAGAGAATGTAATGGTATAGTAAAAGAACAGTATGACCAAAAGATGAATTGAACACAAATAATCAGATTCACTTATTTAAACTGCTCCAAATGACAACAGATGTAGCCACAGAGGCATAGTGAGAAAGGAATGGTGTACTTTATGCATGTCCCAGGCAGGGCTGTGCAATGACACTTGACTGTGGAGATGCTGGGACTGTTTTGACATCCTCTAAAACTTTAAAGAGCACTGTGGATTTTTATTCTTAAAGATTTGGCTTCTGATAATTTTGAAAGTATAGAAAGTCTTCTGTATTCTGCTAACTGGTCACATGCAATATTAAGAAGTCCAGCAGTGCTGGAACACTACATAGGAAATCACTATTAGCTCATCCACCATCACCTGGATTGATTTAATAACAAGATGTCATGTGGAAAATAAAAAAAAAACCCTCTAACAAGTAGCCCCCCCATCAGTTCAGAGGAAATACTACAATTATCGCAGACAAGGAGTAGCATGGATACTTGTAAAGATGGCCTTGGTTAATGTGTGGAAAAAAGCCCTTTCAAATGAAATTAAGCTTACAGCAAAAAAATGGATTGCTGTCATCCAGGTTGCTTCTTTTCTCCCCCACCAGGGTATAGCACTTCGCATCTGACTGACATGGCTTTGAATTTCTTTATCAAATACGTTTTGCAAAGCCAAAAACACTGAATGCAATATTTTAAAGGGAATGTTTCCTGTTCTTTTACAAAGGAACTTGCAAAATCTAGCACTGTAAAAATGCCCAGCCAAGTCTTTTACAATAAAATAAGTGTTCAGCTACATAATTCTTTGTACTTTAATTAGGATTCTGTTTGGTCAAACACTGAAGCATGGTGGTTATAAAAAAATAAATTAATTATGTATCTATTAGAAAACTGCATATGGCAAGGCTAAGTATAGATGTTGAATATTAATGAAAAATAAGTAATAGAATAGAAACCACAGGAACATACTTTGTTAAATTAATTAGAAAAGACTTTTCATGTTTGTTAATGTGAATTTTTATTATTTCCATGTATTTATGGAATGTGCACTAATTTCCAAGGCAATAGTCATGCAGAAATGAAGTGACATATATGGATCTATAGGTGTTCATAGAGAGGAGGACATAGGTGCTAGAGAGAAGGACAAAGGTTGGAGTTCCGTGGGTGAGGGTAGGTGGGGAGGGCTGGGCATGCCTGCCCGTGGAGGCACAGAGTCGCAGAGTCACTCAGGCCAGAAGTGACCTTGGGAGATCATGAAAGTCATTGAATGCGTGATCTTTGTTGTATTTTCATTGCTATGGTTTCCCTGGGTTTGTGAGTCACCCAAAGACAGAGTAAGCCAGGGCAGAGCTGTCTAGCCTGGCTGCTGCTGCTGGAATGTGTGTACTGTTGTCTCTCCTCGGCAATTTCTTGGGAGTGTGTCCTCGAATGCTCACAATATTTGACAGTGCCAGCTAATAAATCTGACAGCATCTCAGGGTTTAACACTGCTGGAGGTGAAAGGGCTGGGGTTATTATATTCTTCATAATTAGCTCCTCACAAAAATAAGTGGAGCAAACTTGTGCTCCTTTTGATATACAAAATTGTCTAGTTTCACCTAACATTCTTTTTGTTTTTCTCTGTTGTTACCT